TTCCGTCTCACGTCCACTTAAGCCGTCGAGAAATCATGATATAATTGACTTCCATGTTTTTTCTGATGCCTCTGAGGTTGGATTTGGTGCAGCCGTATACATCAGAACCACCTTAAGGAATGATATAGATGTTAGCCTGGTGATGGGTAAATCTAGAGTTGCACCTCTAAAGACGGTTTCGATTCCGAGATTAGAACTTAATGCCGCCTTACTAGCTGCGCAGTTATTCACAACGGTGTGTAAAGAGTTGGATTACCCCAAGCATCCCGTAACGTTTTGGACTGATTCGATGTCTGTGATATATTATATACGCAACGAGTCAGCAAGATATGCATGTTTTGTAGCTAACAGAGTATCTCAAATTCGTGAACTAACAACTGTTGAGCAGTGGAGGTACGTACCGTCTGGAAAAAATCCAGCTGATCTAGCCTCGCGAGGAGTTATTGATATGAATGTGGTTAAAAATAAGTGGTGGAAAGGTCCAGAGTTCTTGCTAAGGGCTGATAGTATGTGGCCTCGTAGAGAAGATGAACCACCGATAAACGAGTGTGCCTTGGAGTTGAAGACAAGTGTCAGTTTAACATCTACTCAAGAAAGACATTCAGGTTTACATCCACTTTTTAAATATTATTCTTCTTGGTACAAACTACTGAAAGCTGTTGCGTGGTTGACACGATATGTTACGTATTTAAAGGTCATGCATCTTGCGGGATACGAAAATATGAATGTGGGGCCTTTGAGAGTCGAAGATATTAGAAATGCAGAGTTAGCGATTTTGAGGGCTGCTCAGTGGGAAGCGTGGGGTGAGATTGCCAAGGAGGATAGTCCCGATTTCGCAGATTTCAAGGTGCGGTTAGATAGATTATCTCCGATAGTTTCCGAAGGGATCGCTAGAGTTGGTGGACGTCTACAAATGTTAGAATCGTCATATGAGACCCGTCATCCGGCTTTATTACCTTGCTACCATCCAGTCACTGATCTCATTATAAGACACTACCATGTTCTTGAAGGTCATTTGGGTACTTCGCAAGTACTATCAAGTATTCGATGTAAGTTCTGGATAGTGAAGGGAGGTACTGCTGTCCGTAAAATAATTGATAAGTGCATGGAATGTAAACTCCGAAATGCTCGTCCAGTACAGCAGATGATGGCACCACTCCAGCGTGGCAAGCTTCTGAAGGGAATTATCCATTTGAGTACGTTGGGGTGGATTTGTTCGGACCTTTTGTAGTGAAGAGAGGCAGAACCCTATGTAAAAGATATGGCTGTTTATTCACCTGTTTGAAAATGAGAGCTGTGCATATTGAGATGGTTCATACGCTAACTACTGATTCATTCGTGCTAGCATTACATAGATTTATAAATCGCCGGGGTGTACCGAAGATGATGTTCAGCGACAGAGGGACTAATTTTGTTGGCTGTCACGCCGAGCTTAAAGAGTACTTCGAAGGTCCTCAAACGAGAGTTCAGGAAGAGTTACTGAAAAGGAACATCGAGTGGCACTTCAATCCACCACATGCCAGCCATAGAGGTGGGCTATGGGAAAGACTTATAGGAATTATCAAGCGTATTTTAAGCTCCATAATTAAAAACCAGAGTTTGAATGACGAAACGCTGGAGACATTTTTTTGTGAAGCTGAACGAATATTAAATGACCGGCCGTTATCACCTGTGAGGGACGACGTCAAGGATTTTGATGTGTTAACCCCAAATAAATTATTGTTATTGAGAGGCAACCCTGGCATAGAGGACTCAAGCGGGGAAGGAATACCTACGATTAAAAGATGGAAACAAGCCAGGCACATGAAAGATATATTTTGGAAAAGATGGTTAAAGGAGTATGTTCTAACACTGCAAACCAGAGACAAGTGGAAAAAGTTGTGCCGAAACTTAAAGGTTGGTGACATAGTATTAGTAGCAGATAAATGTGCCACAGGTAGGTGGCCTTTAGGAGTGGTAGTAAGGCTACTCTGTAGTGGTGATGGATTGGTGAGGACGGTTGAGGTGAGAACAAGTTTTGGAAAGTTGTTGCGAGATATTAGAAAACTGTGTCAGCAATGAACTCTGTGACGATTCCCCAACCTAGGGCGTCAACCTGAGAAGGGTTGTAGGCGTACTGCTGTAAGTCCTACAGTTCTTCAAGGGTAGTTTGCCGTGCCAGAATCCACAACATTTGATGTAGTGATTGTACATATGTTTGTGTTAAATAGTTGTGTGAGTTCCAATTATTGTAATTGTTGGTTAAACTTGTTTGCGTCCGGACATTCCACAAATTACAATCGTCAACGTGAGAAGGGTTGTAGGCGTACTGGTGTAAGTCCTGCGATTCTTCAAAGGAATTCCACCAAGACATGATCGGCGAGGTTGTTTGTACTATTTGTATATACGTGTGGTGTGTCATGTCAGTTGGTGTTTTTTGGATTCATTGTGTTTACTTGTTGTTTTCGTATCTTGTTGTTATTACATAATTTTGTTAAAATTTTCGTCGTGATTACTTCTGAAGTTGTTTCGAGTCTTCTACATCCATGAATGAATTGGTTGATGTTAAGGACAGCAGATGGGGCGTATACGCTGGGGAGGCTATTGCTGAGAATAAAATGCATACGGAGATAATTGTTAGCTGCGGTCCGACACGCCGGGGAGAAAGAGTGTAAACGACTGAGGCTCGCATGCGTCACTGCTACTAGAATTGAGGCAGAATGAGTGACAAGCGATTTCAGTGGTAATTGGTAGTGAGTAGATAAGAGGATGTGCGTAGAGTATCATGAGTTGGTTCTAAGGTCACGTTGCATTCTGCAAGAGTCATTCTAGCAAGTGGCGTTTGTGTTGCAAGATGTCAAGAGGAGGTCTCTGTCTGGAGGCGCAGGTCGTCATTGATGTGTGAGATTGTGCTGTGGGTATGCTTGTGGTGTGTTGGCTTTTCTGTTTGTTTTCCATTTCAGCTCTGTCCGTGTGACCCAGGTTCTCGCGATGGCATCCAAGTCAACGTGTATTGGTGGTGAAGAAAAAACCGGATGGATCGGTATTTTGCCGGGGAGTGTCAATGTAGTTGAAGATTGAACGATCAATTCTTGGTTGTTTGCTCAAAATCAACTTCCCCAATTTTCGCGGAGGCATCAATACACCAGTCATCGTTTCATCGGTCGCTGTTCAGAATGAAGAGTGAAACATCGTCAGAAATAATACAGAGATTTATTATTGTAATATTTGTTTTCAGACCTTAGTTCGCTAATTCCTTTTATATGTTGGTGTAACAATAAAGAAATCTCAAGCGGCCAATCGGTGTTTTGATTTTTTCTTCCGTTATAACTAAGCGCTTCTGAAACTCAAAGGAACAGCGTGGGCCTGAGTGTAGCAAGAGCTGGGCATTAACGGTTAATGAGACGTGATTGACATGCATTGATTACTAACCATATAGATTTTATCACTATCTTAGCGTCATTCGGACGGTAAATCGCAGGGTATGGAATTATGTCAGGCGTTACTGGGTGCTGAAGAAAAAGACGTGGGCAACTGCTTATATGCCGAATGCTCTATTACTGATTAATAGTACCAACAATAGAGTTGAAAGCTCTCACAGTCACCTAAAACGATATCTCCACAGAAGAGATCCCCTACACGTATGTATGTACAAGACGTATAAGTGGTGTGTACGCGTAGAGAAGCGTCGGAGTGTTGAAGTCATCGTCGGAAGCTGTCGGGTTCATAAGTACCACGCACCAGAACCAGTAATGCCGATATTACGAAATCCTACTTTGCTACCTAATCGTCTAACCACATCAACAGATGTTTCACTAAGAGAAAGAAGACCATTAATTCAAGGAAAATTTACTTAAAGTCTTCGTAAAAATCACGGACATCCGTATTTATACCAACAGAGAATTAAAAACATCCAAAATATAAGGATTTCATTATGTGAACTGAAACAAGCAATTTGTATTCAGCCAATGTTTTCACCTCGAATGATAATGTTTTCGGATTCTTGTAACTTAGAGAAAAACACCGATTGTGAACCACAACCCTAAACGTTATTCTTGCTAATTACAGTCTTACTTTTAACTGGGATAGTTCTTACACTCACCAGATCATACGTTATCCGCTTTTTCAGTCGTTTTGCAACACACTGAATGGCTGTTAACACTGGCTTTACTACAGGCAGTCCTAGTTCATATATTTGGATATAGTAAACTAGTCATTAACAAGCATAGGTGGCACTTACCCTTTGGAGGCTTCTGATTGTCTTCCAATTTCTTTTTTCCCAAAAATACATACAAGCACAACAGATTCACACTTCTTATGTGGCTCAACCTTGCTTGATTTAGATTATCTCGTAATATATCTGGTTTTTACTGATAATCGACACACTGATGGTATATTCACCTTCTAGAAAAGGTTCAAAGCTTTTTCAACTTCTAAACGGGTTTTAAATTCTCATAGGTTTGATATGCTCCTCGAAAACCTTGCTAATATCAACACTTATCGTGCTCTCTTCACTAGACTCGTAGATTGTCGCATGGTGTAAACATGCATGTGAATCACATTGTTTTTCCCAGATTCCTACATATTGGGTAACCAATTGAACCAGCAACAATAGCTGCAACCAACAAATGAACTAGAAACAACGGCTTTTGATACATAAACAGGTACAGATGCATATTTTCCAGAACTTCTAAACAGTACTAATTCATTAATTGCTGAAAAACAACAAGAACACTGAAACTCCACATGAAAGTAACGTGTGCAACAATTACAGTGAAAAGAATGCAGTGAACTGGTGGCAAAACTTTCGAAACCAACGAAATAACTAATGTTAACTGCAACGGGAACAAAAATGTGGTGAAAGGTAATATTTCTGATCAGTATGCATCAAGGTAAGTTGTGAATAGCTGCAGGATAAACGTAAAAGGCACTGCGTGAACGAACGGTTAAAGAACGTCAGTCCAACATAGCCGACTAAAATGGACGGAAGTGACCCTCAGGTACCTAACTCTTCCAATGACCTTGAGCATGCGGGATAAGTTCAGTTCAACTGATTTGTGAGTTAACCGAAGATACAAAAATGCAAACATAGACAAGGCAGAAATATACCAAACATCAGGGACTTTTCTCTTGTAACCAATAAGCGGTCAGAAAGATATCAATTTAGTCTCCCCTAGCTCGTATAAGTAATATTGCATAGTGGATTTCGGAGCCTTATCATGGAATAGCGCGTAGTATTAGTAATGCGTTACTTCAATGGGTGTCCTTGGGTTACAGCTAGCGACAACATTGGTGGCTGCTAGTATCTTGTCAAAAGTTATTTCTTTCTACTCATTTACTCGGCTTTTGGTCGCAGGTCTTTTGAGATATGTTGTCCCAACCGATGAGCAGTTGCTGGAAGCTAGCGGCAATTGTAAAATTAAAACGAAAGGTAAACAAGTGTCTAAATTTGGAATTTCGGCCTTTCAACAATATTTCTACTTTATTTGTTCTGTAACTGATTTGTTTGTTAATTTTCTGTTTCTCAGTGGCTAATAATTTTTATAATTATAAGACATTTGGCTCTGAACAACTCGTTTATCGTCATATATAGCTAGCATATGTTTTCAGGCGCATTGCAGACTTTTTGGGGCAAAACCTTCGGGTAGGTCTACTTACGTGGGACAGTGTCCCGAAGTCTGTCCCAAATGGTCTGCAATTTGCCTTAAGTCTGCCCAAAAGTCTGCAATGCGCTCGAAGTCTGTCCCAAAAAGTCTGCAATGCGCCCGTAAAAAATGCTAGCTGGGCTGTAATGACTCCCCAAACATTTTAGTTACTCACTATGTTTCTGCACATTTTTCACAAGCCATTTGAGAGTTTAACTCAGAACTGTGCAAGTTAGTGTGATCAGAGTTTTACTACAACTCTATTAGCCTCATAAACATCATGTTAAAAATATACTGGATGTCGCTATATATGGTGACAAGAAACGAATGCTCTGCCCAGGTTTGTCAGTACCTCGTTCTGAAGAAATGTAGGATAGCGGTTTCAGTCAACTACCTACCAAATCTCTCTGTCTGTCTGGATCCAACATAGAACATGGGATCGAAGTGCAGCAGTTCGAGCTTGGCTGTAAACGGAATTCCAAGAAAATATATTGCACTGATTAAGGCACTCTACTCGTACTCATACAGCCAGTTGAGGGCTTACGGCGAGCTGTCATCTGAACTGATGACGACCAGTGGTGTCCGTCAAGGATTCCCATTATCTCCTTTTCTATTCAACTTCATCATAGATGTGTTAATGGAATTAACCCTAAGTGACTTCAGCGACTCAGGGATTGAATTGCTACCGGGGAATAATCTCGTTGACTTGGAATATGCAGACGATATAGTCCTTCTAGGCGAAGACGCTGACGAAATGCAGAGTCTTCTAAACACCTTGAGCCGCAATCTACGAATGTTTGGCATGCGATTCGCTCCCGCCGTGAAATGCAAGATGATGTTACAGGACTGGACTAAATCGACGCCTAGTTTAAAAATAGGAAGTGAAGTGGTAGAGCACGTTGACCGCTTCACTTATTTGGGAAGTACCATCAGCCCCAACGGGCTGATCTCTGACGAAATCTCAGCACGAATACAAGGGGGCTCGTTTCGCATTTACCAGTTTACGCCGACTCTGGCGTAGACGAGATGTTCGACTATCGACCAAAGGGCGGGTGTACTGCTCATCAGTCCGCTCCGTCCTCCTTTATGGTTGTGAGACCTGGCCACTGAGAGTGGAAGACATGAAAAGACTAGCTAGCTGTCTTTGATCAAAGGTGCCTGCGCTCTATTTCCCGTGTAAACTGGCATAATAAGGTGAGCAACATTGAGGTTAGGCGTCGAGTTCTAGGTAAACAGGGAAAATCAATCGACGAAGTCGTGAAGCTACAAAGACTGAGATGGTTAGGACATGTGTTACGTATGCCAAGCCATCGCCTCCCTCGACGAGCAATGTTAGCGGATATAGGGTCAGACTGGAAAAAAGCTAGCGGCGGTCAAACAAAAACTTGGCATCAGTCAATGAAATCCACAACAGTTGGTCTAAGCCACGTAGAAAGGTGTAGACTTCCAGGCTGGGGTCCTCGGGACGGTAAAAATCTATGGTTGGAAACAATTGGTGACATGGCTCAAAACCGTTCTCAGTGGCCGGTGCAGATGCATCCACTCCCTGTGACTTATGATCTTCAATGAAACTGTTTTGTATTTCTTTATTACTCCTTTGTCTCACACTTCTGCTCACTGTTTCTATTATGCTTTTCTTGTACTTTCTTCTCTTGCTTCGCGTGCTACACGGAGTGTGGCGACTTGAACTTCCGCACATTTGTGCAAAGTTCTATGTCGAAAAGAGACAGACAGTTCGAGTTACCACGTTCCAAATAGCACACAAAGGTAGACAAGAAGATGAGTGAAGAGAATCAATAGAGTTTGAAAAATATAAGAGTGAAACAGAATGGGTAATTGTAGAAAGGAATATGAAAGATTACAGAGACTGAATACATCTGCGCCATTGACAACGATTTTGAACCATGTCACCTATTGTCTCTAGCCATTGATTCCTAGAGTCCCGAGGGCCCCAACTCGGAAGTCGGCATCTTCCTACTTGACTCAGTTTAACTGTCAAGGATTTCATGGATTGATGCCATGTTTTTGTTTGGCCACCACTTACTCTTTTCCAACCTGCACCTATATCAGATAGTAATCCCGTTGGGTAAGGCGATGGTTAGGCATGCGCAGCACGTGACCTAGCCATCTCAATCTATGTAAATTTATGACCCCGTCGATTGATTTTCCATCTTTGCCCAACACTACGCCTAACGTCAACATTACTTATCTTGTGAAACCACCTAACGTGAGACAGAGATCGCAGACATCTGTGATCGAAAGCAGTCATCCTTTTCATGTCTTCAACTCGTATTGGCCATGTTTCAGAACCATAGAGAAGGACAGAACCTACCAAATGGCAATCAACCAGGGTAGGAGCAGCCCTGTCGGCAAATCACATTAGTAGCTATCACTTTTCAGTATTCAAATAACTTTACTGATGCAATAATCAGTACGCTCATTAATCCCGTAGGTCACTGCTCAAAGAATTATACTCGGACTCGAGATGGTCTACGGAATAAAATGATATATAGTGGTCTGCAGGAAGTCGTTTCGGTTCTGTCTGTTTCACCACAATAGTTTATTGGAAGACTTTAATTTAGAGTTCATGGGTTCAGTTTGATTAATGTTGTTTACTTCACAATGGTCCCAATACTCTCTCGTCGCCCTCATTTCGCTATTCAAACTGTCATTGCTTTTTTGTTCCATATTTATGCATCGCCCACTGGTTAACGGATTTTTCGGCGTGAAAATATCGTTTGCAATCTAATTCCTGACTATCTAAATCCCTAAACATCAATCTCTCGCTTATTTTTAGGCAAGAAGAAAAGAATTGATTCATCTTCCGTAAATTCCAATGGGACGAATTATAACTACGACACCTTCTATTTTCCTCGCGTGACAACCATACATCTGAAGCAATCTCATGTATCTAGTGCCGATATTGCCCTCTTACCTTTGTACTCAAGTCATCAGTGGTTAGTCGACTTCACTGTTTGTGCGGTATGTGTGTATTTGATTAATGAACTTGCCTACAACTGTGTCATCCCATGGTATGAAGGTTATGGTCGAACTCAAACTACACCAGCTAATACTACAGTGAAACAGTCTCCCTCTCCCGTATCTCTCAGTTTGCGTATTAATTTGAGCTTAGTTTGGATAACGCTAAGCCTTTGGTTCACTATTCGCACACTTATTTCTCTGACCGCAATATATTTCCGATCTCAAAATAGTAACACTAGAATTGAATCCCGTCCTTCTAAGCCCACTACAAATGGCATATCTACAAATATAACTTCAGGTGAATGTATACTCATTCTGGCAGCTGCATTTTTCTTCCTTGTCGCTGCGACTTTGTTTCTTTCTCTTGATGGCACATTTGTGGATTTCGGCCTCCAAGCTGCATACGGAAATATGACTTTTGGGGAGGTTTCATCGTCAAGCAGCCCTATCATTAGCTGGGGCTCATTTCATTTCATCCTAGCTATTATCGCTAGCGTAATTGGTGCTCTGTTTGTGTATCCTGGATTAAAGTTTGGGAAAATCTACTTGGATGCTGTCAAGTAAGTATTACTTCTTACTTTTGCAGGAATGTCATTTTTGGAAATATTTGACGTAACATATATATGTAAGAGATATTGAATTACCTTTCTGTACACCTGCTGTGAATTATTAAATCTATTACTCCACCTAGAATATATTAAATCAAGATAATTTCTGTGATTTGTCTAAATAAGCAAATCTAATACAGATTTCACCTACCTGCAATATAACAACGAGTACAGTAATTAGTGTTGGGTTTCATTTGATTGGTTTGGTTGTCTCATGCCAAGGTTGATGCTGACTAAATATTCCGTTTCGAAGGCAAAATAGTGACTTGTTTCATAAACATAAGTGTCTGAAGTTGAGAGTGTAATTTGATACTTGTATTTTTGATTTCTGTTTTCTGCTTCAAGGCCCCGAGCTAGTATTCATTTATGTTTCTTATTTAGAAAAAACGTGTTTTTCTAGTTAGGTACGTTGTTTTTAAGAAATTATCTCATGCACAACGTAAGCGTTTTTGAGCAATCAACCTGTTTTTTTTTCAGAACTGTTTCCAGAATGGAGAAAAAGTATGGATGGGAATCCTCTATGAATAAATACATCACCGAATATACACATTGGGTCATAGAAGTTATTAAGAAGACAGTTGCAGCGAAGAAAATTTTCTTTTCGACGAAGTCATCATCTAGGCTATACATTCGTGTATTTATATCAAATGGATGGGAAAGTTCCAGAATAATTTCCAGCTAAGGGTCAAATTAATAAAAGTTAAAATGCCATAATAAACAGGGGGATGGATAAAACAAACAAAGTAGCATCATAATAACTAAGAAGATTGACATTGTGCAATTAGGGGTTAGAAATATAGAAATAACAAAATAGACAGGATGTTTGGATAAGAAACTATGTGATGAATAAGTGTTTATGCGATCAGGGATTAAATATGTAGAAATAGTAAAATGACAAAATAAACAAGAAGTTCGGGTATGAAAATATGGTAGTGTAAACAGGGATTAAGAAAAACTTAAAATAACATGAATAAACAGGAAGTTTAGATAAGAAAGGCGATAGGATGGTCATTACTAAAAATTACCTGTTTATGATGGTTATGGTAGGGACAGGGGTTGGGCGTATTTCTTTTAGATACAAAGCGTGGGTTTGATGTTTTGGATAGCTAGCGCCTCGGCTATGCCCAAATGTCTTGATAGTTTTGGTTGAATCTTGTATATTACTTTGAAGGATTTTGCGAAAGGCGCTGAATGTCCTGAATTGACCAGATGTTCTGTCACTGAACTGTATACACGCTTTTGGTTTCATTTTACTAACCAGGCTGGATAGTGTTCACGAGAGCGTTTTTCAAGTCGGCGCATGGTACGGCAAACGTACTCAGCTCCACAAGAGCAAGTAAACTGGTATATGCACGTTGAGGTGGCCCAATGCGACAGCTTCTCTTTTGCGTTCTGGCTGAACAGTTTCTTGCAGGAAAATGTCAGTCGTAGGCTCGCGGCGAAGTATGTTTTCCTCAGCGATTTTGAGAGGCGTCTGCGAAGGATTTCTGCTTCAATATCACCTTTGAATTCTAGATTAAGCAGAAGTATTTTCTTTGGAACGGATTGAACTTGTTCGGAAGTCTTCTTAGATTTGAGATTTTTGTCTATGAACCGGGGGCGGGAAACTGCTTTCCATCAGGTTTTTTCGAAGATTACGCAGTTCTTCAACCACTTCCTCGCTGCATATCTTCCGAATCCTCGAGGAAAGGGCGTATATCAGGTTCCTCTTTCTGCTCAGGGGTACGAAGCCTTGAAAGTTGATGAATTGTCCATTCCATGTAAGCTTTTTGTATATGGACTTTTTCAGAGAGTTGTTGGCGTTTCTTGTCAGATGGACGTCGAAGAAGTGGAACATTCCGTCGGATTCAGTCTCAAGTGTAAAGTCGATGTTTGGGTGGGCGTTATTGAAGATTTGAAGTAGCTTTTTCAAATCACAATTCTCATCACAAATAATGAAAGTATCATCGATGTATCTCTTGTAGAGATGGAGGTAGTTGATAGTTGGTGATAAGGCGTTGTTCTCTAAGCTAGCCATAAAGCAGTCGGCTAGGAGTGGTCCTAAGGGAGAACCCATTGCTACCCAATCTACTTGCCTGTATATTTCCTTGTTGAAAGTAAAGTATATGTTGAAGGTGCATCAAAGTAACAGTTCTTTCAGGTAATGGATCGGTATACCAACATCGATACCATTGGATTGAATGTAGTCACAAAGGAGACATACGGTTTCTGTCAATGGAGCGTTGGTGAAGAGAGACACGACATCCAAGGGGACCATTTTCTTTTCTGCCACATTGACATTCTTGATTGAATCAACAAAGTCGAATGTGTCACGGAGGTTGTGTCTTGACAGCTTCTCTTTCACCGGCCCGAGAATCTCCACCAGCCATTTCGCGATTGTATGATACGGGGAATCTATCATATTGCTCGTATGAAACTTCACATCGTTAGAAATGACGGCAATTATTAACTCAAAAAATAAAGTAGTTTTTTCACTAACAGTTTTATTGCTGACTTACGTCTGGGACGCTTTACGTTAAATTTTTTAGTTATGTCAAGAAACACTATCTGCATAAGTAGCTGAAGCAGTCTCGTCAAAAATATTTGTTACTAGTTTTAAGAAAATCTAGCAAAGGAGATTACTATGTAAGACGTCTTTATGTGATTCGATAAATTTAACACTTTTAATCAATCAGTCCAACGTTTCAGTCCTCCACCACTTACTATAACTTCAATAATTGGTTAGTACTATAAGATTCTACCCTTTAAATGCTCTCTAAAACCTATTAAGTTGAAGTACATTTACCAGGTAGTTAATTTAAATGCTTATACAAAGTCAAAATGATTTTCGTTAGACTAACTGAAAAATTTCCAAAGGTATTTGTAAACTTATTTCTACACCTTTCTTCTTTTAGACAACTTTCGACTCCAGCAATGAAGAGATTCATACTCCATCTAAATTTTATATGTCCAATAATCCCTATCCTACTTTGGCTTACTTCAATCACTGATCATATTTCTCGGTCATTAATCATGCTTACGCATAGTAATTCAATATCTGAACATCCCTTTCTCTTAATGGTCGTCAACATTTTGTCTAATTTATTCTTGAAACATTTGGATAGTATCCGGATACTTACATGTCTAACGGTTATTTTCCTTCGTCTCTCCACTACTCGCTGGATTTTACAGGTACGTGTATAATCTGTAGCCTAGTTTTTATTCAAATGATTAAAAGCGTAAGTTTTTAGGTCATTATGACTAGTTAAATAACACTTTTATGGCTAAAAGAAAGATTTAAATGAAGAAATTCTTTTTGTTTATGTATAATTGTTATTTTCTGTGGGTTCAAAATTCAGATGTGATTCAATTACCACTTTATTTTACTGAAATCAGTTTATTAAGATGAAGTATTCTCGAATTTTCTTATCATCAGTTATAAAAGGTAAGAAAAGTCGAGTATCAGCACCCATTGGATTCTGACAAGACATTTGAATCATAACTCCTTTAGTATGTATGCGAATTGACGCTCATGGATTGTATCTTTTGAAGGGCTGTTGGCGTTCACACTCTAACTGAGACAAAATAACTATCCATTGTTCCACTTTTACCTACTCGATATTGGATTAATAATGAAGTACACATTAAAATTAGTAATACTGCAATAGAATTAGAAGGCTTTTCATAATTTCTCTTCATCTATCTATATGTCTTCGTTTATCATGGATTAATAGTGAATTTGAATAGAATTTCATTAGTGTAGAATTAAATGCTACTTTTATAACTCCTTTTTACTGTACCATAATTTATTACTACGGCTTGTAATCCATCAATAATAACAGAAGACTATTGTTATTTTCTTTAGTCACATATTAACCAATTGTACGACATCCAAAGTACTCACTTATCTGAAAATATATACAGGTGTAATAGAAGATCTGTTGAAATGCCAGACTTCATTAAATTCTGGGAGATAGATAAATTTACAAATACGCAACATCCGTATTGACTGATCATAAGATGAATATCTGTTTGAATAGTCCCCTATTCAATCGACCTTATTTTAATTAAAACAGAAAATACATGAATTCTGAAAATCGTAATTAATGCCATATTCACTGAGAAGTTGTGGTTGTTTAATATGATGTTCAAGTATTGATCTGAGTATTCATATCCAACTTCATTAAATAAATTAATATTGAGAGATAGTGAATAGTTATGAATATCATGGATCTGTGACCTATTGGCTTAGGCACTTGACTTTCAACCTCTAGTTTATTTATTTAGTTCTATTACTTGCTAAGATTTGAATGATTTTTTAGTGTTGTCCACCATTCTACAATAGGTGTAACTTACTACTAGGCCTACGAATCTGCTTATATTTTCTGAATTTCGTATGCATGCTGGGAAGATTGTGATTTCTTATGTATATTATTCATGTACATCGTATAGTATAGAAATGAGTATATCACGAGTAATGAACTCAAGGTACCTGAAGACCATTAAGTGAATAAGCACGCTGGTTTTAATACAGACAAGTGCGTCGATTACCTTCTTTTCTCATCTGACGACATGCTCCGTAATGTATATAAACAAAATGATAGTAAATGCTATCATATTATTATTATTACTATTATTCCAAACATACATATATATCTGCATTCCTGTATCAGGTACATTCCGTGGAGAGTGAGACATTACTTTCAGTGCAGATTTCACCCCCCTGGAAACAAGGAACCATTGATGTAAGTTTGAACCAATAGTCTCCAACGATCGGTTCTTGGCATCACAAAGACGCCAACCAGGCAATCTAAACATCCCTACACGGCTAGGTAAAACTGACAATCAAACACTTCATGGATTGATGTTAGGTTTTTGCTTGACGACCCCAAACTTTTCCACCGTAATCCTATTTCATTCAGTACTACTCATCCAGGAAGGCAGTCGCTCACCATTTGCAACACATGTCTTACTATCTCAGGGAATGTAGATTCATAACCCTAACGATTGGCTTTCCTTCCCTATTTACAACAACACACCTAACCACACTATTATTCATCATGCTATACTACTTACCACGAGAAACAGGTGGCAAATATGTGTGGACAAAGACGCCTAAAATTTCCACATATTTCACTTTCAACAACAACGCCCCACAGCCACAAAATAGGAAACAGAAAACTAGTTAGATGTGCTCACTGCCTTTCATCGATTACCGAATATCACAAGCCTTTTGTATCCTTATTGATATTTCTTCAACAATCAGCCCATTAGGACTCTTGCAACTTCTCCAATAAGTAAAGTGGTCAACATGCTCTACCACCACACTTCCTCTGTTTGAACTAAGTCAGTTCAGATCGGTCGCACACCATCGTCTTACATTTAACAGTGGAAAATATACAACACATTTTCCTCAGGGTATCAGAATACTCTGTCTCTTGTCAGTGTTTTCACGTAAGGAGGATGGTTACAGCACTTGCGTACCCTAAGCAGACCACAATATTTCCTGATGACAAGTTAGTTCGTAAGTTGATGAAATAGGCCACCCTCATATCCGCCAATACATGCGTGATGAAACTAAAAGTGGAGGCAAGCATTGGGAAGCCCTGATTAAAAGTATCTGTCTGTCTGTCTGTTTTCGACATAGAACTTTGCACAAATGTGCGGAAGTTCAAGTCGCCACATTCCGTGTAGCACGCGAAGCAAGAGAAGAAAGTACAAGAAAAGCATAATAGAAACAGTGAGCAGAGGTGTGAGACAAAGGAGTAATAAAGAAAAACAAAACAGTTTCATTGAAGATCATAAGTCACAGGGAGTGGATGCATCTGCGCCACTGAGAACGATTTTGAGCCATGTCACCAATTGTTTCCAACCATAGATTTTTACCGTCCCGAGGACCCCAGCCTGGAAGTCTACACCTTTCTACGTGGCTTAGACCAACTGTTGTGGATTTCATTGACTGATGCCAAGTTTTTGTTTGACCGCCGCTAGCTTTTTTCCAGCCTGACCCTATATCCGCTAACATTGCTCGTCGAGGGAGGCGATGGCTTGGCATACGTAACACATGTCCTAACCATCTCAGTCTTTGTAGCTTCACGACTTCGTCGATTGATTTCCCCTGTTTACCTAGAACTCTACGCCTAACCTCCATGTTGCTCACCTTATTATGCCACTTTACACGGGAAATAGAACGCAGGCACCTATGATCAAAGACAGCTAGTCTTTTCATGTCTTCCACTCTCAGTGGCCAGGTCTCACAACCATAAAGGAGGACGGAGCGGACTGATGAGCAGTACACCCGCCCTTTGGTCGATAGTCGAACATCTCGTCTACGCCAGAGTCGGCGTAAACTAACAAATGCGAAACGAGCCCCTTGTATTCGTGCTGAGATTTCGTCAGAGATCAACCCGTTGGGGCTGATGGTACTTCCCAAATAAGTGAAGCGGTCAACGTGCTCTACCACTTCACTTCCTATTTTTAAACTAGGCGTCGATGTAGTCCAGTCCTGTAACATCATCTTGCATTTGGCGGGAGCGAATCGCATGCCAAACATTCGTAGATTGCGGCTCAAGGTGTTTAGAAGACTCTGCATTTCGTCAGCGTCTTCGCCTAGAAGGACTATATCGTCTGCATATTCCAAGTCAACGAGATTATTCCCCGGTAGCAAGTCAATCCCTGAGTCGCTGAAGTCACCTAGGGTTAAGTCCATTAACACATCTATGATGAAGTTGAATAGAAAAGGAGATAATGGGCATCCTTGACGGACACCACTGGTCGTCATCAGTTCAGATGACAGCTCGCCGTAAGCCCTCACCTGGCTGTATGAGTACGAGTAGAGTGCCTTAATCAGTGCAATATATTTTCTCGGAATTCCCTTTACAGCCAAGCATCTCCAGAGAACTTCTCGATCGACAGAGTCGAATGCTGCCTTTAGGTCAAGAAATATAATGACTGTTGGACGCCGGTAGGAATGCCTATGTTCTAGAATCTGTCGGAGGGTGAAGATATGATCAATACACCCTCTTCCTGGTCTAAAGCCTGCCTGGCTCTCTCGTGTTTGTGCTTCCCGAGCACCACTCAGTCTACGCATGATTATTGAGCCTAAGACTTTAGATACTATATTAGTCAAGCTAATCCCTCTGTGATTATCACAGGAAGACTTGTCTCCCTTCTTGTATATGGGGATAATCAGTGACTTACACCAACCCGATGGGACTTCTTCTGATTCCCAGACGCTGCCTAGTACCTCAGTTAATCCGGACAGTAAGCTGTCTCCACCGTACTTAAATACCTCTGGAGTCATTCCATCAGGTCCCGCTGCTTTGCCTAGTTTCAGATTGGTGACAGCTTTAGTAACCTCAGTTAGTGACGGAGGACCTGTGTCTATATCCCATTCAGGGAGGTGTTGGATGCTCGGAAGGTTGAGCGTGGCTGTGGGCAAATTAAACTGCTCCTCATAATGCTCTTTCCAACGATCCAGTCGTCTATCCTGGGAGCTAATTATAGTGCCATTTTTTTCCGAGATTGTCTCACTGATGATTTGTCTTCTCCCACCCGTTTCCCTGATGAGTCCAAAGAGTTGCCTGGTGTTGCCTATCCTCGAAGCTTTCTCCATCTCTTTGGCTTTTGTCGCCCACCACTGTTCACGGTCCTTGCGGAGACTTTTCGTAAGTTTCCTCTTGTGCAGCTTTCGCTCCTCATTGAATTCGGAGCTCGCCGGAATAAGTCTTCTAGCATCTATCAGTTCGGATGAGGCGGTGGAGATCCAGTGGTTTTTACTCACCTTTGGGTTTACCTTATTCACAGCTTTTACAGCTGTATCTATGGCTGCCTGGATATTTTTCCAAGCTTCTTCAGGGTGAGCACAGCTGTCGAACACAGATATGTGTTTAGCTAGTTCTTCCTGAAATACGGATTTAGTTTCCTGATCGAGCTGGGGACGTGATGGTTTTACCGCCAGCTGTTTCCTACGTCCGTTCAGTCGTAAGCACACCCGAGCGCGGACCAGTGCATGGTCGGTATCTACGCACGTGTTCCAGAAGGAGCGACAATCTCCTACCGACCCACGCCAACGATAGCTTATTGCTATGTGGTCTATTTGTGTCCAGCGTTGGTTTGATGAAGGGGGTCTCCAAGTCAAACAGTGTCTCTCCTTGTGTTTGAAGTTAGTGCTTACAAGAAACAAATGATTA